AAAGGAGACTAGGCATTGGCTGCTCGATATTTGGAGAATAGGCATTGGCTCGTCGATTTTTCGAGACCAGGCATTGGCTGATCGCCTGAAGCTGCTGCCCAAGGTGGGAGGGCATACAAATTGCAAGTGTACCTTCAAGAAATTTTTAAAAGGCACACTTGATATTTGTATACGCGATGAAATGGAGCACTCCATGGCGATCGCGCCACTGCCAGTGGGACGCCCGCCACAACGAAGGGACATTGATCGCGCCTTTTGAGCGTCGAACTTCCTTCTTCCTTTTCCCTTCTCCTCTTCGATTTTAAAAGGCACAAAGTGTTATCTCCCCACATCCTAAAGGGTACTCGCCGGTCAAAAACGGCTTACTGTTAATAATGGCTCGAGACAACACCCTATTCATTTGTACTCGGCACCGCACTTGATGTGGACGCTCGCGAGCTGTGCGTCGAGGGGTGCGACTAACTCGAATGAACCGTGTTTGCGTCGACGTATTGCTAGCATTTGCTACAGCCAAGGACACTGTCAAGGACACGTTCGTTGACGAGTTTGCGCATCGCTACATCATCTCTCGCTCATGCCGGAACGAGTCGAATCGCTCCAAGCAAGATCGCTCCAGGTGCAATGTGGAGCCCGATTCATACACGCATGGACGTCCTGTACGCGCTTCGTTTTCAAAAGCCTCTTCGTTGCACAATCGTTTGCAGTGCTACCAAGCACGCTCGTTGTGAAGCTTGTCCGCTGTCGTCTCTGCAAGCACCGGGTGGTCGACTTCAAGCTTTGCATGGTTGCTATCTCGACTCGATTAAGTTCGGTTACTCACCACTCGCACTTGATCCAACTGCTCGCAACGGGTGTGGCCCTACGTTGCAGTCCATGATTGGTCAAAAGTCCATCTATTCTTCGAAATCGAAGCCTACGATTGGCTAAAATGCTGGATGCGAAGTGAAAATAGAAACCTCGATTGACGGCAGTCGTGGCATTTGGAATTTCCCTCGCAACATGTCGGACGTCAACGCTATCGTGATCGAGCCGCTCAAGGCCTTTGCCAAGAACTCGATCCACCTCGTCAAGAAGTGCACGAAGCCCGACCGCAAGGGTACGCACATCCTGACCATGCGAAGACAAGATGCTCATGCTTGTTGCCTGTGTAGAGTTTACCCGCATTGCCGGCGCCACGAGCATTGGCTTCCTCATGATGGGCTTCATCGGCTTCTTCGTCAAGCTCGTGCACATCCCGATCAACAACATCCTCGTCGGCGGCAGCGCCTAGATGCCAAGCCTTTTTCTAGTGTTTCCTTATAGTGGTTAGTAATATATCGAGTCCCTCGATACGACATGGCGACCGTCCCGCAGCCGAAACGTACACACTACCACGTGACGTTTCGATGGAGCGCGAAGCGTCGCAGCGCTGGGCACGCCAGCGGTATGAGCATGGCCACACGGCCACGCTGCAGACCATGCGCCGCAACGACGCCCGCGTTGCCGACCTCAACGTTCACGTAAGGCAGGCTGCAAGCAGTGTGGTAGCTTGGACCCTGATCTAGTGCTATCTCGGCCATGAAGACCGACGGTCTGCTCGTGTGAATTGGCGGCAACGTCGAGAAGCGCCTTCTATGTCTTAGCTTTCTGCACAGACAGGCAGAGCAGTCGCAGTTGCCAGGTACGACGCTCGTTTACGTCAAGTAGCATAAACTCACCCACGCGGCGCAGCGCGGCAGGTGCTCGCGTCACCGTTGACGCTGACGCGGTAGAATGGCCTTGGCGCGCGAGGCTTTTGACGGCGCGTGAACAGGGCGATCGAATTTGGTGACTTGACAACGTTTCGAGCCTACCTGCGCGCGGGTGCGCGTGCGAATGGCGTCAATTCGGTGCGTTGACCATGTACGAGCGGCACTGTCGACATACTATAGGCGGGCGAGACACTGCTCCACGTGGCTGTGCTGCACGCACGCTTGCCGATTGTGCAGCTCCTGCTCGAGCACGGCGCCGACCCCAACGCACGGAGCTACGTACTACGATCCTGCTGTTGTCGCAATGAGCAATGGTCGAGCGACGATGGGTAGTCGACACCGCGGGCTCGGTTCTTGAACGCGGTCGGAGATGTGGACGTGTGCTTGGCAACGGCGGCTGGCGCCACGCCGCTGCATTATGGTACTAAATGTACCTTGCGCATTGCATCTCGGATGGTTTTTCGTGACGATGGCTAGCATGCGGCCTTGCCAATCTCAAGCTCGTCAAAATGCTGCTGCTTGCCGGCGCCGGCGCCAGCGTACGACGTTCTCTCCTTCCCATATGCATATTTGATGGACGCTGGCGTAGGTCAATGTGGGTAATTTGGAGGTAGAACCTCGTCCTGCTTGCACCCTCTCGGATCATAATGATTTAGCTCTGCCAGCCACCCCTCGTGTGGGCACTGCGGTACGCAGCCGTGGCTTGCCAACATGACATGTTCATATGCAGTGACAATATATGCTAGCGCGCCGGAGCACCAAGTGGCCATGATCGCGCTCTTGGTGACGCATGGCGCGTCGGCCGTCGACACGCGGGACGTTGATGACAACAATGCCATTGCGCTCGCCGTGCAGCACTACGCTGGAGAGCGCGATCTGCGGCAATTGCAACAGATTGTGACGCGCTCGTAGACGCAGGCGTCGACGTCCAGCACAAGAACGGATGCGGCTGGACCGCGTACGACGAGGCTCCGACGCCAGCG